ATAATGCCAAATTGATATTGACATGTGGCACACACCTGATCATGTATTATTATTGTGCTGGTTGAAGTAGAAGTGCAGATACCCTTTTTTTTGGTGATATAAGCTTCCTGTCCTAAAGCAGGATGGCATTTACATCAGAGGTGATTGCAGTTATTATAGTATGCCCTAGAGAGACAATGTACTGGCAGCAATACATTATGGCTATGCCTCCATGTCTCCCTCCTAGACTTTTGGGGGATCAAGCACTTCACTACGCCATTTAACATTAGTATGTGTATTAATAAGGTCCTGTGTGTGTGCATGTCATGTGCTCCTTTAAGGAATGGAATAGGATTTCAAGTCTGTGATTAAATGTTTGATGTGGTCAAAGACACCAGCCTTTAAAGAGAATCCTAACAAAAGGCACCCATGATGAACAATTTAACTTGGCAATATTTATAAGGGCTGGGCCCATGCCTGTTGTCTTAACCACTAACAGCAAAGAAGTTCCACTTTTAGGTAATTCTTTAAGGCTAAATCAGCATGACACTTGAATGTCCAGCAAACATTTGTTTTAATGCCATAAATATACTCTAGGTATCACTGTCATATTCCTTCTACTCCAGCTTTGAATTAAGTAACCCCATAACTCAAAACACTGTTCAGCTCTAAAATAGACATAGGCTCAATTAATTGGGAGGTTTATCTGCATTTTCATTCCTATTCATGTTTTACTAGTAGTTTTCCATGTTCCCTGATCACACACATGAAAGCGGAAATAAGTAATCTGCACTAGGAATCGGAAACTTTAGGTTGAAAGGAAGAAAGGCAACCCTGTTCATATGCTAACCTGATACTGAAGCTTTTCTCTCTTTGGATCTTCAGGCCTCCTTTTTCAGTACAGATCGGCTCTATTTCTCGTTCCATCACAAATCACACACAATTAAGATATATGCTCTGCAGAAAATACAAATCGTTACAGAAAATAAAATCTACCTCCTAATATACAACAGAAAAAATATAAATGAATAACTATGAGTACATGGAGTATATATTTTAATAATAGAAAAGAGAAGACCTCACTCTTACAACATCAAATACTCCACCTACTCATCTACCAAAGCACCATTAAGGCACTATATAATGAATGGTGAGTGATTTTAACACGCATCTTAACTCTTGTTTAGAGCAATCAAATCTAAGTCAGAACATCATAACAGGATCCTTTCAGCTCAACTGTATTGGGCCAGATGGCCTGGATCATAATGAACTCTCTAGACACAGAAATGTCATTTTCATTTACAAGAAAGATCAAGCTATCAAGGATCTGAGCTAGGCCTGAGCATTTGCACTATAAAGATCAATCTTCAATCCTGATCCGTTGTAAACAGACTCCACGCTAGAATCCTGTAGGTGGGGGACTAGAGAGGAAGTAACAAACAACCAAACAAAATACAGCAAAAGAAACAGTGGGCATTTATGTAGTATTGGTGGCTCCGTGCTGGCCTGGGAAGTGGCTTAACACCTTGTCTTGAATAGTGGGCCAGCTACTTGCAGAATGGGGTCAGAGAGCACCTCTCCAATGGTCCCTGGGGGCTTATCAGTACACCATTCAGTGCTCCCTTGTTACAGCCTGCGCCAATGAAGTACCAGAGTACATAGGCCAGCCTAGTATAAAGAATGCATACTGCACCAAATATATTCAAACTCGCAACCAGCATGGTGACGTTGCTCAAGATTCAGAAGGAGATCGCATAAGCATATCAACAGTATATAATGCCACTGAGATTTATTTTATCAATATATAAACTTGCAACCAGCATGGCAACCAGCATGCCACTGAGATTCAGATGGAGGCCATATAAGCATATCAGCAATATATAATGCCGCTAAGATTTAATTTAGCAATTTTTGTCAACCTAGTTTCTGCTTTCTTTTTCTCTCTACAAAGACAGATCACTGCAAGATAAATACTTATGTCAAACAATGTAAAAGAATCCAATCCCCTCCTATGCAGCAGATCAAAGAAATTTAATGTTAATCTATGGTACAACGGTACATTTATAAATTTGGCAAACCCATCTGTTTCCTTGAGAATCTTCTCCAGCAGACATGAACCAATGGGAGCAGCAAATGACAAAGTACATGTCCCACTCATGAAACAACACTATTTTGGCATCTCTGCGTGCAAAATATGCATGCCAAATAGCCAATCAGACATTATTCAGAAGTTTCAGATTACCACATTCTACGTAGATATGTTGATCCTAGTGATGCACTTGCAGGTTCCATTCAAGTGAGCAATTTACAAAATGGTTCCAGTCACACCAGAAATATCTATACAACTATTTGGTAGCTCGTCTTTTCTGAATACCCACAAAGAAGTTTTTAGACCATCTACATAGCAAATTAACAGTCTGCAATATACTAAACTTATCTATACACAGTACAATGCATGACAAATTCAGCATGAGTAACATTTTTTCCACGGAAGGAGTACAAGTAGCATTGTTTTCATTCTAATTGTGATTCGCTAGTCGATTATCATGGCGATAAAAAATCATCCTATTAGACCTCTTCAACTTCGTACCAATCGGGCGCTTCCACTAGTTGCCAAATTTCTTTTAAGGTAAACAGGACCTGCTCGATTCAGTAGGCTGGCAGAGGATTCCTAATTCTAACATCATGTTAAAAAAATTGCAGAGTAGATCACTCAAAGATTATAACAATAGCAGACAAAGATGCGCCCTAACATCATAAACGAGTTCAGGGTATACATAACTAAAAAAGTTTCAGGATAGAAGTCTACCATACTGGACACATGAGATACTGGAACAATGCAGTTTGAATGTATGGAAAATTCCTAATTCCTACAACCCATTACCTTGTACAAAGATCTCCAAATTAGATCACTTTTCCAGCAAATCAAAGCTTCAGGCCAATGCGCCGCATCTCATGACTAAAACTGCTAGACAATGAATTAGGACAGAAGATTCTACCATCAGGTGGCAATGGCATGAATAGGTGAACACATCAAAGGCAAAACCATGACCATAAACCTCCAAAATGCAGTGTGTGAGCAAAGCAGGCACCAGCATATATATTGATGTGGCCAATATGTTGAAATTTTTTAGAAGTGTAATTGCACCATCAGAAGTTGCTTCAACACACAATTTGTATGACTGCAGAAGAAATTAGAAAGATACAGCTACATTCCCAAGCCCTCATCAACGCAGAAGATGAACCAAAGTTCTCCTCCAAGGGAACCTCTGCAGAAGCCGCAGCTACATCGAAAACCACTCAAAGATTAGAGCAATAGCTAGACATTATTCAGAAGTTTCAGATTGCCACATTCTACGGAGAGATGTTGATCCTAGTGATGCACTTGAAGGTTCCATTTAAGTGAGCAATTTACAAAATGGTTCCAGTCACACCAGAAATAACTATAGAACTATTTGGTGGTTCGCCTTTTCTGAATACCCACAAAGAAGTTTTTAGACCATCTACATAGCAAATTAACAATCTGCAATATACTAAACTTATCTATACACAGTACAATGCACGGCAAATTCAGTATGAGTAACAATTTTTTCACGGAAGGAGTACAAGTAGCATCATTTTCATTCTAATTGTGATTCACTAGTGGATTATCATGGCGATAAAAAATCATCCTATTAGACCTCTTCAACTTCATACCAATTGGGCGCTTCCACTAGTTGCCAAATTTCTTGAAGGTAAACAGGACCTGCTTGATTCAGTAGGCTGGCAGAGGATTCCTAATTCTAACATCATGTTAAAAAAAAAAAATGCAGAGTAGACCACTCAAAGATTATAACAATAGCAGACAAAGATGCGCCCTAACATCATAAACGAGTTCGGCGTATACATAACTAACAGAAATTCAGGATAGAAGTCTACCATACTGGACACATGAGATACTGGAACAATGCAGTTTGACTGTATGGAGAATTCCTAATTCCAACCCATTACCTTGTAAAAAGATCTCCAAATTTCATCACCTTTCCAGCCAATCAAAGCTTCAGGCCAATGCCCCGCATCTCATGACTAAAACTGCTAGACAATGAGTTAGGAACATAAGATTCTACCATCAGGTGGCAATGGAATGAATAGGTGAACACATCGAAGGCAAAACCATGACCATAAATCTCCAAAATGCAGTGTGTGAGCAAAGGGGGCACCAGCATTATATTTTGATATGGCGAATATGTTGAAATTTTTTAGAGTGTAATTGCACCATCAGAAGTTGCTTCAACACACAATTTGTATGACTGGAGAAGAAATTAGAAAGATACAGCTACATTCCCAAGCCCTCATCAACGCAGAAGATGAACCAAAGTTCTCCTTCGAGGGAATCTCTGCAGAAGCCGCAGCGACATCGAAAACCACTCAAAGATTATAGCAACAGCTAGACAAAGACCACTCAAACATCGTGTTAAAAATGGACAGCAAGACCAGTAGACCACTCAAATATCATAGCACTAGCTAGACAAAGATATGCCCTAACATCATAAACCAGGGTAAACATCACTACCAAAATTCAGGACAGAAGTCAATACTGGATACACGAGATACTGGAACGATAAAATTTGGTTGTATACAGAAAATTCCTAATTCCTAAACCAGTAGTCCATTACCTTGTAAAAAGATCTCCAAATCTGGGCAGCTTTCCGCCAATCGAAGCTTCAGGACAATACACTGCATCTCATCACTAAAACTGCTAGACACTGAATAAGAACAGAAGATTGCACTACCAGGTGGCAATGGCATATTGGCATGACTGAGTGAATAAATCAAAGTCAAAAGAACGACCACAAATCTCCAAAATGCAGTATGTGAGCAAAGCAGGCACCAGCATATATATTGACATGGCAAATAGTATGTTCTTATTTTCCAGAAGAAAGTGTCACAAAATTGCACCATCAGAAGTTGCTCCAACGCAAAACTTGTATGGCTGGAGAAGAATTAGAAAGATACAGCTAAATATTTTGAGCTCCCATCAATCAACGCACAAGATCAACCAGAGTTTTCCTCCGGGGGAACCGCTGCGGAAGACGGAGGTTCATGGAATCCTCGATCTCAATGGGCAGATGCGTGGCGACGATGACGATCCCACCCTTCTTGCGGTGCTCCGCTATGATGTACTCGAGCAGCTTGACGCCCTCGGAGTCGAGCGCGACGGAGGGCTCGTCGAGGAGCCAGATCGGGCGGTCGATGGCGAGCAGCCTGGCGAGCTGGAGGCGCTTCCTCTGCCCCATGGAGAGCATCCTGGCCTTGTCGTTCATGAGCCTGCCGAGGCCCATGAGCTCGATGGCTGGGGCGGACCTGCCGTGCTTGCCCTCGAGGAGCTCGAACCACTGGACGTTCTCCAGCACGGTGAGCTTCTCCTTGACGGCGTCCTTGAGCGACATCCAGTTGAGCTGCAGCTTGTACTGCTGGAATACCCCCGGGGTGGTGACGTCGTGGCCGTTCCAGAGGATCTCCCCGGCCGAGGGGCGCGAGAAGCCGGCCAGCATCCGCAGGAAGGTGGTCTTGCCGGAGCCGTTGGCGCCCGTGAGGACGAGCGCCGTGCCGTCGTGGACGCTGACGTTGATGTCCCGCAGCACCGTCTGCGCGTTCCGCATGCAGGAGACGGCGTTGAGCATGAGGCGCGGCGGCGGCGGCCTCAGGGCCGGCATCTCTGCTGGATGGCGGCTCGCGAGCGGCGCGGAGGATCAGGTCGGGCGCGCGGGCGCGGTGCGGGTGGGACCGGTGGAGGCGCGAAAGCGAGCGCAGCGGCGGGCGTGGGTGGCCGCCGCGGCAGCGTGCGTGGGAGTGCGGCGGCGGCGGCGGCGGTGCGCGGAGAGGTGGAAGCGGGGGGAGACGCGAGGGTTGGTTGGGCCGTGCCGTGAGGACAACGTGACGGTCGATACGGCCTGGCCTACGCTGGCTGTGCGGGAAGGGAAACGTGGAGGCCCGTGGGTGGCCTTTGCGGGAATGGGCCTAAATGGTCCTACGGCCTCGTGAAATAGAACAGCATTTATCTGAAAGCCTGAAAAATAGCATTTCTGAATTCTCTGCGTAGGAAAAGAGCATTTAATTTTAATTTTTCTTTTTCGCGTGGAGGAAAATAGCATTTCTAATGCACATACACTTCGAAATCAGGTAGCTCCACAGTTCAACGAGAACCCATAAGCTCAAGGTTAAGATAGAGCCATAAGACGACGCGATAATGCCACCCATAAGCTCAAGTTGGAAAATCAGGTAACTCTACAGTTCAATAATGCATAACGGCTTCAGGAATCAGGATGTGATAATGGAGCACGCCGTTTCGAAAGAAAAAAAAATAATGGAGCACGCAGAGTAGGCTCAACGCCTGAAGAACGCCGCCGCTAGCTCATCGACGAGGGTAAATCACGCTTGCTCAACTTTGGATATCTCGCAACTGTTCTGTGCTGGACGAGATCACGAGACCATCGGTTTTTTTTTTTTTGAAACCGAGGCAAAAGATTTGCCTCATATATTAATTAAGTAGAGAAGAGGTTTTGTTACAATAGGCACCCTTACACGGCATGAGTGATTACTCACGTAAAATAATGGATCCTAATTTCTTTGCCCCGGCGGTGACCCAAAGCTTTGCCTCATTGGCAATGGAAGCTAGTAAAATAGGCGGTGGAGCACACTTATGCCGGAAGACCCGTGCATTCCTTTCGTTCCAGACGGTCCACGGCACGAGCATAGTCATCGAGGCCATCGCCTTTCTGTCAGGTACTCCTGTGCCGGTCAAATTTTCCCACCAACTCTTGACTGAAGCCTCCAAATGCCATGAAGAGGTGTTCAAATGCGTAAGCTGAAATTTCTCAATGACCATCTTCCAAAGGCGGATGGTGTAACGACACTTGAAAAAAAGATGAGGACCGCTCTCTTGCTCCCTTTTGCAAAGAGGGCAAAGACCACAGTTCGGCCAACCCCGCTTGGCGAGCCTATCCGCCGTCCAGATTCTATCTTGGGTTGCCAGCCAAGCGAAGAACTTTGCCTTTGGAGGCGCCCAAGCCTTCCAAATCATGTGCTCCATGTGGGAGAGAACTAGCCCGAGGAATTGCGCTTGATATGCGGAGGCGGTGGTGTAGCACCCATCGGTCGTGTGCTTCCATATAATGGAATCCTCGGAAAGCTCATCAAGATGGAAGTTGTGCAAGAGCATCCAAAGGGTGAAGAATTGCCGGATGTGCTCGATGGAGACGGTCGTGGAGGGGTTGATCTTGAGAATCCAATCATTGTTTTTGAGGGCCTCGCGCACCTTCCAATTTTTCCTCATGGAGGCCTCGAAAATTAGGGGAGCAACATCTTTTGGTTTGGCTCCCTGTAGCCAAGGGGATTCCCAGAAGGGCGTTTTGGCCCCATTCCCCACAGAAATGGTGGTTGAGGCATAGAAGAAAGACATGTCCGCCTCGTCACAAGGGTTGCCCAAACCGACCCACATCTTATTTGGCTCCGTCCATTCGAACCAAGGCCATCTCAGTCGCAAGGCGCGAGCAAACTTGGTGGTGTTAAGGACTCCAAGGCCACCGTACTCCGATGGGCGGCAGACAATATTCCAATTAACCTTGCACTTTGCTCCCGTGGTCTTATCCGACCCGGACCACAAGAAAGCACGCTCCAGCTTGTTCACATTTTGCAAGATGGACGGAGGGACAATCAAGGAGGTGATGAAGTAGACCGCAAGTGAGGAGATGACCGATTTTACTAATGTCGTGCGCCCAATGGTAGTAATGTTCTGCCCCTCATACGTAACCAATTTGCTCGCCACCTTGTCTTCAAGAAATTGGAAATCCGCCTTTTTCAGCTACCAGACGGATAGCGGGAGGCCTAAGTACCGTAGAGGGAAGGAAGCCACAGTGGCCGGCATGCTTTGCAGAATGTGTCCCAAGTTAAGGTTATTGCACCGGATAGGCACAACGGAGCTCTTGTGAAAGTTGGTGCATAGCCCGGTGACCTCCCCAAAACCACGTAAAATTGCCGAGAAGTTGTCAATGTCTTTTTTTATAGGGGACATGAACACCGCGGCATCATCCGCATAAAGCGAGGTATGCACCATGACACCTCTTCCACGGATCCGGTGGAGCAATTTCTTGCGGGTAGCCAAGTCAAGGAGCCGTTGTAGCGGATCAATGGCGATGACGAATAGCAACGGTGAAATTGAGTCCCCTCTGGCGAAGGCCCTGACCGTGAATGATTGGCGGGCCGGGCACACCATTTAGGATGATCCTCGAGGAAGAGGTGCAAAGAAGCGCCGCAATCCAGTTACGAAATTTGCATGGGAACCCACGGCGTCAGAGGAGGTCCAGCACATACTCCCATCTGACCGAATCAAATGCCTTTCGGATTTCAAGCTTGAACAGGAGCGACGGAGTCTTGCACTTATGGAGCCGGCGGGCAAAGTTACGCACGCACATGAAGTTATCGTGTATGCTTCTCGTCTTGATGAAGGCGCTTTGAGCGTTGGAGACAAGTTTGTTCATGTGCGGAGCAAGGCGGAGGGATAGCACCTTCGCGAGGATTTTGGCGATAGCATGGATAAGGCTAATGGGTCTATAATCGCCAATACCCTCAGCTCCCTCCTTCTTGGGCAGAAGCACGACGTTGGCAGAGTTGAGCCAGTGTAGATCGGACGTGTGTAAGGAGTCAAACTGGAGAATCACCCTCATCACATCATGCTTGATTATGCCCCAGCACTTCTTGAAGAAAATGCCCGTGAAGCCGTCCGGGCCTGGCGCCTTATCATTGGGCATGTCGTTTAATGCCCCAAGCACCTCCTCCTCGGTGATGGGCGATCCAAGCTCGCGCAGCTCCAACTCGTGAGACTCCAGGTTGAGCTCGTCCCAGTTGAAGTCTTTTGTTGACAAAGACCCTCTCCTCATGACCGTAGAAAAGTGGTCATGAATTATCTTCTCCTTAGCATCATGGTCAGTGACCCAACCCTGGCCATGCTTTAGCCTGAGGATATGATTCTTTCTCCTCCTTGCATTGACCCGGCGATGGAAGAATTTGGTATTTGCATCTCCTTCCTTGAGGTTAGCAATTCTCGCGCATTGCTTTTTCCGAGCCCTCACAAGCACGGCCGGGCTTATTACCCTCCTCTTAAGCCTAGCCCTTAGATCAACCTCGTCGGGGGAAAGATGTCTGTTTTCTTGCGCAATGTCAAGGTGCAGGATCACCAAAAGGGCCTCATGCAGCTGAATTTTTGCCTTTGAGAAGAGTCCCCTACTCCACTCAGAAAGGCGCTGTCCAACCTTTCTAAGTTTGTGGAACAAGATCTGATACGGCTTAGAGTGCGGAGGCTGCTCATCCCAAGCCTTGCTAACAACTTTCATGAAACCCGGCATGGAGACCCAGAAGTTTTCGAACTTGAAGGTCTTGGGTCTCATCAGGCCTTTGTCATCTACGAGAAGGAGAGGGCGGTGGTCGGAAAGGGAGGAAGACAGGGCGTGGAGCACGTGGGTGCCGAAGGCGGCGTTCCATTCAGCGTTGCAGAAGAACGAATCAAGTTTGCACAAGGTCGGGTTTGCCCTCTCGTTGCTCCAGGTGAACCTCCTATTTTGTAGATGAATTTCTTTAAACTCGCAACTCTGGAGAGCCGTTCGAAACCGGTTGATGCGACTCCGGTTAATGTTTCTATTACTCTTGTCGCGCACGCGATATATTTGATTGAAATCTCCTGCCACAAGCCATAGGACTCCGGCAGGTGGTTTTTGGTCGACGAGCTCCGCAAAGAAAGCGTCTTTGCGAGAAGAGTCAGTGGGGCCGTAAACGGTGGTGATCTTGTATTGCACGTCGGAGTTTCGGACTCGGCCCATCGCGGATAAACAGAAGGCGGTGTAGTTGATGTCAACTAGGTCCACCAACTGGTCATCCCAAAGCAGAAGCATTCCCCCCTTGTGCCTTCGGCTGGCCTCTGCGCAAAGTTGTGCAGTCTGTTTCCCCCAAGGAAGGAGGTCGTGAACACGTCGACATTGACAAGTTTCGTCTCCTAAAGGCATGCAATATGACAGGAGGAGAAGGTGATGGTGGCGTTGACAGTGGACCGTCGATCCGGACAATTGAGGCCTCGGACGTTCCAACATAAAACATTGATAGCTTGCTCTAACATGATAATAGGGAGTACACATAGAGGCATGATGAACATCCATCAGCCACACACACATGCAAAAGTAGCAGCAAGCTGGGCTGACAGAACCCAACTCTGAGCTTAGCAAAGCTCCTGGAGCTACAAAGACACCAGAAGAAAACATGACACTGCACCTTGTGCATGCACCACACTACAGACACATGAAGTTGATCTAACATTGGGAACTACTAAACCCAAAGAACAACGACCATCAATCAGATTGCAGCCAACAAGGCTCCAGCCGCATCCTCAGGTCCATCTAGGTCGATGGCGCCAGCCCCGCCGTGCTGGATAAGCACATCCTCCACTCCAGCAGCCTGCACATCATCAAGCTTGAAAAGCTCACGCATGGAGCTGATCACCTCCGGGGGCAGTGTGTCTTTGAACTTCTCTGCAAAAGCATCTAAGGCCGCCGCTATAACATCTTCGCCATTCTTGACTATTCCCAGGCTGCGGCAAACCAGCAGCTCAGCCGCCTTGGTAGCAGGCGCCTCCTTGGCACGCCCAGGGGCTTTGTTCTTCACACATGTC